AAAATTTCCCGCTGAAAGGAAAATTGGCCGGTATTTTATTTCTTGTGTGAGTTAGTCCAGCACACCCACCTAGAACGCGGTTGAGGTTATAGGCAGTATTATTTCGGCAATGGTGGCGGGAACTGCAAAATGTTTTATTAATATTACAATTAAGCGTCGGCAAAATCATCTATGAATGTGAAAAATTTATCAATTTTTACAATTTGCCATTGCTAGTTCATATTGCTTTAAAAATGCTCACAAATTTTTTTAAACTATATTTGAAATTACAAATTTTTTAACGCACAATATTGTCAATTTAATTTGAATATTACATATAAATACATTTTTGACATTGAAACTATAAGTTATGTGGGAACGGACGCTGACGGGGACTAATTCTAACGCAGTTATCGATATCGCGTTTCAGAAATGATTCAATTTACAGTTAAATAATCATATTTTTCCAAAATAGTTTTTTTAAGAATGTGTTTATAATGTTAGGTGGGTTCGTAATATGGTGAGTCATGTCATATTTCATAATTTCATCTTTGTCCGCTTAATAAACTTTTACTTTATGACGTCTATTTTTGTTTTAACTGACTAATTATGGGTTTTTTATTTGTCAAATTTTAAGACAGTTAATGTCAAAGAGAACGTCAACTATAAACCAAGGTGTGTTCAAAACTGTCATTTATTAGAGTTTTAATTTAAATTGTGAATAAAAATGACAGATGTTTGTTTATACTGTCAAAGAAAATCAAAAGACAAAAAGAATTCAAATAATATTAAAATTATGTCAAATATTTTTAATGTTTAAGTTTTGAAGTAAAAAAAATTTTTAGTTTTTCACATATGCAAAAACGAAAAAAAATTTTTTTTTTGTTTTTCTTAAATACGAGGAAGTGCTATTTTAAAATTGTTTTTAATATATTCAAGCCATTTGGTAATAAAATTTTTTTTATATTTTCATTTTGGTGTTTTTTTTTTCTCTTTAATAAAACTTTCGAAAAAAACTACAGAAATTTTTGTGGTAGCGTTCTGTGGTTTTTTGCAAATTGAAAATGACACAAAATTTTAAGTAACTTTTGTACATTTGTGCAAAAGAATAAAAATACTTTTGATTTTTTTCCGAATTTCGTCCCTTTTCTGTGTAATTAGCAAAGAAATAAAAAACAAAGTGAAGTTTTCCAAAACAAAATGACGCAAAAAACTTAAAAATTAAAATGGCAAAGAATGGCATAAGCTACCAGAATAAGTAAAAAAAGTTAATTGCAACTAAAATTTTTATTTTTTTTTAAATTATTTTCTATGTGTGCTTATTTGTTTTTTAATATATTTTATTTGGTTGTCCTTTTTTTTTTGTTCCTTTACTTTTAATAAAAAGTTCTTAAAGAAAACTATTGAAAAAAAAGAATGAAGAGTTAAAATGAAATTGAAACTAGTTCAAATGAAATTTTTAACAATAAACAAAATAAAAGGAAACAAAAAATTAGTTCCAATTTGCTCTACTTCAAGTTCATATGAAATTTTCCAGCTGATGCACCACACACTCATTTGGTAGTAGCAAAAAACAAAAACAATTTATAATATTGTAGTTTGTTATTCTTCTCTCACATACAAGATTTGGGAAAGTTCCAAATCAATTTTACGAAATAACTTAAAAAACAAAAAATAAATTTCTTAAAATCTTTTAAGTGACAGATTCATAATTGAATAAAACACACAATTAATTCGATGATTAACAATTGATTATAAAAATTAATAATCTGAAATTGAAAGCAAATTAATATTCTGTTTTATATAAAATCAACACTTCAAACGAAGATGTGTATAAATCCGAACGTAGATTTCCGATTGATCATTTGGGTGATGATACACTGTGATCAAGGTGATCGATTGTACTATCGAGTAGCATTTCTGGGTCAAAATACCGGAAAGACAAATTTTTCACCGAAGATCCTCTTATATAGCATTTTCTCCTATTGTGGGATCATTCCCGGCAAAGATGTAAGAGGGTCTTTCCATCCTCTTTGTAGAACGTACAAACTTCGGCAGCTCCTTAGATTCTGCGTAAGCCCATTATCCTCATATCATTTGTGCTTATTTTGACGACCGTAATTGCTCACACTATCATACTTCTAATATTTTGCTTGATGGTATGTTCTTAATACTTTTAGCCTATCTTCTTTAATGAATTCCCAAAAATGTCTCCAGCAATATAAAGCAAATAACCGAAAGCTTTTATAAATCCCTGACTACCAAAAATTACTGTCACAGCTGCAAAAACTACTAATCAAATTGAAAATTTTTCTATAGCATGTATTTCCATGTGAAAGATACTTGGATGTATTCGTATAGGTTCGAAACATTTGATTCTAGACCCCTAGCTGGAAAAATTATTCGACCTATGAGTGTACCACTCGATTGTATCACTATCCATCAGGCGGCTAAAAGATTTCCTTCTCAATTTCGGTTTGTCATTTAGTTTTTTCGTGACATCTGTTGTAGTAAATAATTTGTATTCCCAATTATTTTTGTGTTCTTTGTATTAAATTTCTAATTGTGTCAGATAACTTTTCAAAAATGAGAAGAATACTTATTTTTTTAAGTAATATTACTTACCTTTACTTACTAAAATTCAAATACAATAAATTACTTATAACTTTAATCAATTTGTTAGATTTTACTAGCATTATTGCTTCTAAAGTATATTTACATTATAAAATTATGTGTGCGCCGAAAGATATGCAAAATTTACATTGATATGAAAAAAAAAGTAAAATGTCAGCGAAAATTATCAAGTTATTCAAGTTATGAATTTTAAATCATAAGGCGAGATGAAAAAAAAAAAATTATTCCTGCCAAATAAGAAAAGATCTACTTAATTCAGCGCAACAAAAAAAAAACAATATTCATCAATAACATTTTTTATATTAAAGTAAATAAGACATAATCCGTTATAAAAGTAGAAAAAAAAGCTGAAGAAAAAAACGGCTTACCCTCACAAGTTTATATTTTTTAGTTATTCCCGTCTTCATGGTTTGTTCCTTTTTTCTTTTTCAATATTTTTCGGTTGTTTACTTTCCCATTATATAATAACGTATGTAATATGAAAAGGGAAGATGAATTTTGTGATAAATGTCAAACACTTTAGATGAAAATGTTAAAAAATGTTGTAAAATTTATTGTAGATATTTGGAATTTAAACTATTTAATAAATTTTTATTTTGCTTGCTTGCTATTTTGAATCAGGATGATTTTGTACATTGTACCTATATAAAATAGCGCATTAGATGTATGTAAATATTTATAGATGAAATGTTGATCTCCCGTTATATTCGTATATTCTCCTATGTATATATATATATTTAAAACGATATGCTCTCTCTCTCTATTTATTCACATGTTATGTACTCTAGTATAAATTTATCGATTTTATATACCTAAAATATATTAAAGGAGTTCCGAACCAAAAACAAAAAAAAATAAAGGATGTATGCGTTTTAAATTTTGTTTTGAGAAGGAAATTTTGAAAAAAAAAAATAATAATAAAGGAAAACATTCTTTACGGTTATTTATTTGAACAATTTTCCCGAGTTATTTATACAGATGACAACATACATTTATATCAATGTGTTTCTATAAATAAAAGATTGTAGTCAGATGTGTATATACGATTTTGGAGGTATTATGGTAGATTTTAAAAATATATTGAATAAAATTTTTTATGAAATTCACATAGAAATATTTTAGTACCTTTTTAAAGGTACAAAAATATTTTACTAGAAGAAGGATTTTTATTGAAGTAAAAATTATGTTATAATTGAGATTTAATGGACTTCATAAATATCTAATAATAGAAAAATGTAATGTGAAAAAAAAAATATTTGACCTAGAAATTATTTTAGTTTTATTGAGTTTTTTGTGAATTTTTTTCCCTATCACCTATAAGTGTTGTTTTCTAATTGATAATTGTGCAAGCATTGATGTTTCACAGGATGTACGGAAATTCTATTGTAGTATTCTTGACCCTGTACGTGTGTTATTGTTCGTTATATTGTGAGATCATGTTTGTTCCAGAAGCAGCGGTGGCAGCTGATGTTAGTGCTTACAACATTTGTATTTGGTAAGATAATAGAATTTTGTTAAAATTATTTTTGTATATTTTATTTTATATTATTATTTATTTGATTATTACCTGACCAGTGTTTGATCTCGCAACATTTCGGATAACAAATCGGCCCTGACAAAAATCTTTAAATTCTAGTTTTCCAATATTTTTTTTTTGTGTCGAAATCTATACCATCTCTTTGATTACCATTTCGGTAATTTTTTACAATTAATCAAATAACCTACCTATTTTATATAATATCAGGGCTTGAAAACTGATCTGCAGGCCGATTTTACATTTTTCACCATATCTACGAAACGCATTGATTGAATTTCTTTGAAAAATTTGATATTTAAGTTCTGGTTGATACCTGATGACAAAATAACTGGCGAGCATTTCAGGGAATTCGAATAGCACAAAGTGAAACTCTACCAAGAGCCAAATTTACATTTTTCTAGGTGTGTTAACTATAAGCTTATGCTGATGTCCTAAAAATTGGAAAGAAGTATTTAACAGACATTTTTATAATATTCTGTAACACTTTCACTTAACTATACAATACACATTGCGGTCGGTTATGTGCAGATTTTTTTTTTACTAAAACTTGTTGCTTCTATTAGGAAAATATAGGCATACATATTGCGATAGCAACATTATTACGCTGCTAAAATTAACAAATACTTTCAATTTAATTTTTTTTTTAATTTTTAAAAACGTTTTCCTTTTACAAATTTTATTCACTCAACTTTGATAATAGTAAAATTTGGACATTACACATGACATTATGGTCGAATTATGTAAATGGTCGAATTTACTTTTTGATAATTACAACTATTTAAGATTAATGATCTCTAAATTAATAAATTTATTAAATATTAAATTTATTTATTAAATTTTAATCATCATTGTTATATTTACAAATAAATTAATAGTGAAACTAGCAATTTTGTATTTAACAAATATAAGTAAAATTAATCAATTTCAATTATCAAATAAATTGAATTTAAATTTATTTCTAATTTATTTAAAAACTCTTATAGCCTTGCTGCTATAGCCCCTTATTATATTGCAAAATTTGTTTTTTGATTTCTTATAATACACTCACAATTATTTTAAATTTAATGACCCCCCCCTCCTCATATCATAAATTCTATTTTACAATTATTACCTCTTAAATATTCATATATATATATATTGTAATCTATATTATATAGTTAAGCAACTTCTGGATATATAAAATATGTTCCAATACCACAATGATTATTTAAATTTCTTATTAAAAACATATAACCATTAACACCCCAATCATTACCAAAACTATTTCTTATTAACCAATATTCTTTACCAGTATTATCATTCATTTTACCATAACCGATAACAGTAACAAAATGATTTGTTTCATTTAATGTTGATGAGCAATTACTATCATAATATAAACCCCCACGATATAATCTAAATGTATCTAATCGTGCATCAATAGCAGCAGTAACTGGTCCATAAAATGCAATAGCCTGTTGCATTGCAATTTCATTACTATTAATAATAATATTTTCATTTTGTATTATATTCATATCATATAATTTTGATTCAACTAATGCATTTGCTATAGATGATAGCGATGATGATGATGGTGATAGCGATGATGATGGTAGACGTGTTGTTGTTGTTTCTGTTGTTGTTGAATTGATCATTGGTATTGATATATATATTTTTTTAATATAAAAACTTTTACGTTCATTTCTACATGTAATATTATTTTTTTCAATATTATTTTCTAATGGAATACCAAATAGCATACCGTATTGGTATATACGTTCAATTGAACCACCAATATTACAATCAAAATTTCCTAATCTTTTAATACATTTTAATATATTATTTGTAGATAATTGAATTAATTTTTTATATTTTATATAATAATGTGCTTCCATTGTTGAAATACTTGCTAATATATAAGAATTTTTACAATTCTCTTGATCAATAATTTTATTTTTATAACCATATTTAAGCCAATTTATTGTCTCTGGTATATCTGAACGTGGTAACATTTGATGAAATTTTATTTTTCTTTGTTGAATCTTCCTTTTTAATATTTTATCATATAAATTATTCTTATTATTCTTATTATTAATATTATGATAATAATAATATTGAAGATATTTTTGAAAATATTCATAATTTGTTAAATCAGATAAATGATTTATACCTAAATCATAGGATACTAAACCATTTTGAAATTTTTTATTATGTTTTTTAATAAAATTTATTGTTTCTTTGAAAATATTTTGACGTATAGTATCTTCAAATGGTAAAGAATAATTTTTATTAAAATTATTACAATATTGATACCATTTATTTTCAATATTTTCACCTTTAAGCAATAACATCCAATTTAAATGTAATAAGTAGAATAATAAAATTAAATTAATGTATAACATTATTAACTATATGTATTATATAATATGTATGTGGGGATTGTACGTATATTATTTATGTAGATTTAGAATTCTTAAATTGTAGATACGCGCGGTCACGATATTATTGGAAATTTTTTTTTTTTTTGTGAACGAATTCAATGGTTGCAAACCAATTACTAAATATGTGTAATAATTTTAAGTGTAAAAAAGATAAAAAAAATAAAATAATTTTTTTTTGCGAAAATATGAATATTTATGTGTAGGTATGCATAAATTTAGAATAACATTTTTTTTATAAGAAAATTTTACGCGAATTCTCTGTATAATTTATACTCGTATGTACGTATGTTCTGAAAATTTTCATTCTCCTACTATGAATGAAAAATTTAAATATGGTGGTCAAGAATTACGTTCATTTTAGGAGATTGAAAACGTAATTAAAGGAAAAGCTTATATAGTCCATTTGTTAGAAATTTTGAACGAATTGACATATAAATAAAGGCTATGGATTTTGAAAATGTAAAGTTAACACTTTAAAACCAGCGGCCATACTGGAAACCATACAAAAATTTTGTTTTGGAAATTCCCAAAATTTGTTCGGAAATATTTGATAAATATCTAAAATATTTTATCAATAAAATTGTAGAAATCATTCTGCGGAATATGTTCCTATTTCATATTGTGGCATATACTCTAATACTTCAATTCTAAGAAAATATAAAACAAACCGCTCGGGAGTTTTTTACAATGTCACTAGTTTAGTTTTTCATTATTTTTTATGGTTTTTACACTAATTAAAAGAAAATTTATTCAGCTTCATTATCATAAAAAGTCAACAAAACAATCAAAAGAGAATCTACATATGCAGTCTTCGTGGCTCTTAATTAAATGGATGCAATATAAGTGAAATAAATTGCTCTATTATTTATATTTGTTACAAATGAAATCGTTTATGGTCATCAGTTTTCTATTTTTAATTATAGTTTATTAAAAAAATATTTTTAATTTGTTACTATATTTTTATTCTACGAGTAGTATGACAAAATATTAAAAAATTATTGAGAAAATATACAAGGTTTTTCATTTTCAAGTGATTCAGTAACAAAATATCTACGAAATAGTCATTAAAAGTAAGATTGTGAACTGTATTTATTGTGGTAATGAGTCAAATGTTACCATATATTATTGATGTAGTAATAATAAGGAGAAAATATTTTAGAAGATGAAGTAATATTTTAATTTAGTAATTTTTCCATGTAGGAAAAGCGGCGGCTGTATTTTCGTCTTATAGAATGAATTCGGCGGAGTACTCAGCAAAATATTATAAATTTGAAATAGCGTAGGGTTCGTTCGCACGCTATTCAATGTAACAAAAAAGTTATTCTATGTATAAATATTTCCTAATCGGTTATTATGGGCGACTGCTTAATTGTTTATTATAAGATTTCTAACTGCTGACCTCCGAACTTATCCTTACTGTGATAACATTAATCAAATTCGTCCCAATAAAAATATTTAGTGCTTATATAATAATTCAATTTACTTCAAATTGTTCATTAAACTGAATTTTATGAGTTATTCACTCTTTAATAACATTTTGAGAGAACCACAATGTTAAACACAATTTTAAGTATGTACAAATTTTAAGAAAAATAATTTTATTTCACCGCAATCACTTGAAAACAATTTATAAAGTAAAGAAAATAGCAAAATGTTAAACAATCATGCCAACACACTCAAAATTGCCACTTAACATGTGATTGTTTTTTTTTTTTTTTATAAGAATATGATGATTTCAATTGTTGAACTTTTTTGTATATTTGATGATTTTTATTATTAAATCATATTCTTAATACAGTATAAGATTTTGTGGAAAAAAGTATTATATACTTACATAATTATATAGGTAAATTATTTTATATGTAAATAAACTCAGTTCATATGTTTTTTAAGGTTTATTTCTTGTGATATCATTTTGAGTGACAATCTCTTTTGTCTACAAAAATGTCATCAATCAAATTTACATGTAAACATAAGAAGAAATTGTGAGAAATTTTTATAAATGTGAAAATTGTATAAATTTTTTGGTAAAAGTATACGTAAATTTTTACTCAAAATATTTTGACATAATATGTCAAGTAAAAACAAACTTATTGTTATACGATTGTGGTGTCTTTTTATTTTTTTTTTTGTAGGAAATGTATACAAAATATTTTATTTTAATGTAAATTATGTAAAATATAATGTTTGTATATTAAGTTGATATATAAATATTATACAATATAATGTCAAAGTGCGTAGATGAAATAATTTTTATTTTATTAAAGTATTTAGTTTACCTACGATTGCATGTAGGTAAAAAGACTCCATTTCACAGGAAATAAAGAATAAAACAAGTTTTTGTAAACATTTTATACTTCTATATTCATAACATTTGTAATCTAATGGAGGAAAGCTTTAGGTTGGTGAGAAACAATTCATTGTTTTGGCGGTAGATGGGATTGTAATATGTAAATTAATTTAGTTGGGAGTTATGGCCGTAAAAAACAGTTAGGCAAAAACGTGTAATGAAACGTGATTTTTTTTATAAAAGTATTGTTCTGCCTGTTAATTAGATCACCATGAGAAGTTGCAGAAAGACTTTTCAAGTTGGTAACGCGAGTTGGTTATTGAAGCTTGTCATGCATGTTCGTCATGCAAGTTGGTCATTCAAGTTGGTCACACACGCTGATCATACATGTAGGTCATAAGAGTTGGTTATGCAAGTTTGTCATGCATGTTCGTCATGCAAGTTGGTCATTCAAGTTGGTCATACATGCTGATCATACATGTTGGTCATACGAGTTGATCATGCAAGTTTGTCGTGCATGTTAATTATATATGTTGGACATGCATTTTGGTCATAGCGCAAAGAAAAAAAAAACTTACCTCAATTTCTTCTGAGATTGCCGCAACGCGTGGAAAGGAGATAACAATAGCCAGACGAAATTAAAACATTAATTATATTTATAGTGCCAATACTATAACAGTATATAGGCGGATTTTAATTTCGTAAGTATTGTTGTCCGTTATTTCTAATATAAGGTTACAATATTAGTAAAGTATTAATATATAACAATGCCGGAATACGGTACGATTGAGTGAACGATTTGAGTGAACTTAATTTGAGTGAACCTAATATTAATTAATTTAAGAATGAAAGCGGAGATGTTTTTGTTTCATTGTTTTTTTAGTAAATGGGCAAGAAAACTTGTTTTATTTAGACTTTTGTTTTCCTAAAATATTTGTCAAAAATAATTTTATTTAAAAATTTATAAGTAAAATATATTTATAGAATTTGTTTGTTTAAAAGAAAAATAAATTTTTGGACAAATTATGGCATAATATGAATTATGATTATTGAAAAAATTAAAATAAAATTATTTTTAGAAAATTTATAAAGCATCTATTTTATATTTTATTTATTTTCTGATCTCTCATATATTTTGTTATAATTTTATTATGCTAAATAATTCGGTTTTTCGAACTCATGAATTTTTTATAAAGTACCTAAAATTTGAAATTAAAATTAAGAATCAGACAAGGCATAAAAAAAAATTTCATTCTTTTTTTTTTGTTTTTCATTTTTAAATTACTTCAAGCATTCAAAAAGATTTTCTAGGATCATTAATCACATAAAGATGATTATCCTGTCAGATTTATCAACCTTTATAATTTTTTTTTTCTGTTTTCCATTCATTTTTTTTTTTTATTTCTTTAAAGTAGCTTCTATAACAATTTAATCTACTTCAAAAAAAAAAAATATTTCTCCATTCACCTTTGAAGTAAAGTTCCGCATTTCATTGTCCGTACGTACGTATGGTATGTGGCAGTAGTTAACTGCATATTATGTGTAGGTTCATACATACTCGCATATTTTTAAACATATTTTGCGGTAAAATTTCGTTTCTTGATGCTTTTTTTTTTTTTTGGAATATTTTGGAATTTTGGGTGGAAGTTAAAATTAAGGATAAATTGTACTTATATTATTATATAATAAGAATTTAAGTTGTAGACAAAATTTACTGTGGGGTAACCCAAAATGATGATGAAGGTAAAAATTGAAAATTAACTTAAATAACCTTTTTTTTTTGTAATGAAAATTAAAAAAAATACTAAAAGAGTTATAAATTGTTTGCTCTTTTATTTTTAAATTATTTTTAATATATTTGTGCATAATTTATGATAAATGTGAATAAATTTTATATACGTTCTAGCAAATAAAGCATTTTGAAGTGTATCATATTATATTAATTGCAGTCGAGCTTAAGATACACGCTGCACACACAGATCGAAAGACCGACATCTCTCTAAAAATACTTTATTTATGATTTTTTACTGTGGAGAACTGCGTGCCCATCCAAAATTCACATACCGAAAAACCGGATACAGTATTTTTTAACTAGTTAATTCTGCCAAGCTATCAACTATCACGTAGGGAGTCTTCAACAGAGATACCAAACTTTGTTTATTTAATATTTACCGTATAGCGCGGAACATCAAATGCATCCAAGATAAATTATTGACTAGAAATCAGAAAAATTTCAAATCAAATGATACAGAACAACATAATTGTAAAACACATCAACACTATAGTGGAATAGTAGTCTGTGACCCACCCAAACTGGCCGGAAAGAATGAGAAGAATGGGACATAGTGTTATAGAAATTTTTTTAAACCAGATCATACTTTAGTATCAGAAAAACTATCAAATAGTATTGAAGATTGGACCTTAATAGAGAAGAGTACAAATTAGGCAATTACCAACAAATCACTTTTTAAATACCTACACTTATAAGGAATAAAATGAAAATTTTATCGCAGAATATTAAGTGGAATGTAAGAAAACACAACAACAATATGATGACGCTTTAAAAAACATTTTGGATAATGAATGCAAACCCCACTGCAAACGGAAATTGGAAACTACAGCAGGTAATATTTAGGATAACAGTTAATATTTATGATAACGTCACAATTCTTGGATAATTTTTATTTATTCCGAAAAGTGAAAAAATCCCTGAAAATAGCAAAAAGTATAGAACAGGTAGAAAAAAAAAGGAAAAATTAAAAGTTTTAAGAAGTTTTTTAAAAAACTTAATCATTCCAGAA